CACACATGCACAGCCACTGGCAGTGGATTCGTGACCATTAAAGTTGTAACATACTGACAGTACAGAATACAATAGAAATTATAGCGAATTTAAGAATGATACACCTTCTTTAACCGCAATTTAGGCTTTTTGAAATTTCACTGTGACAATTGTAGGCCTCATACATCCAGGCATATGTATAGATTCTCTACGCAAACCCGGCAGTCAAAATTCTTTCTAACAGAGCATCATAGCAAAATCTCGATGTTTAACGACCTCCTCTTGAGGTAGGGGCGAGGGGGAGGGTAGGGGAGGGGGTGGGAAAAGGGTGGGGGGAGGGGGTGGGGGAGAGGGGAAAGGGGAGGGTGAAGGGAGGGGGCTCTAATAGCAAAAGCGTGCACTGCCTTGTTAACAGTCAACAAAACCATGTTTTAACTCGCTCCTCTTGAGGGTCAAAAGGTATCCGACACTTAACTCTGTCGCGATGCACAGAAGGGACTATTTCATGGTCCATTTCAATAAAGCCATAAAAATGCTAGTGCACGCGCTGAAACAAAAAAAGTTTTTCAATCGCTTCCGTCAGAACATGTCCTCAGAAAATGTCAAATATCGGCCCTGTGCCCATTGACCTTTGACATGTGACCTCCAATTTAGGGCACAGTGATGGCTTTCCTACCGATGATCATGCACCGACTATCACGAGGCCTAGGTCGGCTGCGTTTAGAATTTGTGGCCGCATTATGCATCTTCCTCCCTATACCTTAAGTAAAGGAGTGAATGCTTCCCCGCTTCTTTTAAACAACGTCTTGTACGCTTTGACCTTTGACCCCCAGCTTCGACATCTCCAGACTCGTATTTGACGATCCCCCGATGTGCGAATATCGTGACCGTACGTCGAGCGGTTAAGATTTGTGCCCAACTGTTGACGCACGGACGGACGGACGGACGCATCGCGACAGGACTCATCGGACGGTACGGGACCGAATCAGCGATTCCTACAAGCTCGGTCTGACTGATGTCAGATGAGCTATATTAATAACCAGCTATCATACACTACACCCAAGCAATATATACAGGGCAGCTCTAATCACCAGACGGAACAAAGAAAAATTTTTAATGATATCGTCTCTGAACAGGTATAATCACAATTTATAGAATGTAAACCTGTGTTGAGCACATATACCTGGTAAGTGATTGATTTCCTGTGGGGGCCCGAACTCCCACCAGGCAGAGCATATGGCTCTCTCCCTCTGATCGTATCATGCGAGCAATTCGAACACGTGTTTCTTATTGCAATCGAGGAACAAGAGAACAACCAACCATTCAGTCGACGATTTGCATGTTGAAGTCATCCAGATTTCTAAGTAAAAATATATTCATATTATAGAAATGGCTGACAGAAAGAATACTTACTACCCAAATACACTGAGTTTTTTTTCAATTTCAAATAAATTCTTCAAATCTCATTAATCAAATTTCAATACACTAATCCCATCCACAAAACTCGTTCATTTCTTTACCTGAAACGTATGAATATATTCCCAAATATAGAAGCTTAGTAACTCATACTAATGTTTGCTATTCGATCGATATATCACCGAAGAATTTAAACGCTCTCTGAAGTGTCCGACTATCAAAAGCTGTCAAGCCCGTTTATCACCGATTTTCTACGAAAACTACTAATGTCAACTACTTACTTACTTATACTTACTTACTTACTAGTTACTAGTTACTTACGTATTTACTGGTTACTACGAGCGTATAAGGGTCACTTAGCGCGGCCGGACCTGCGTATAAGGGTCACGCAGCGCGGTCAGACCTGCGTATAAGGGTCACGCAGCGCGGTCAGACTTGCACATAAGGGTCGCGCAGTGAGGTCGGACCTGCGTATAAGGGTCGCTTGAGTGGAACGCAGAAAGCGCATTTTTATAGACGGGTGTCCATTTCGGGGTGCCTATGCTTAGGCTGCATGATGCTGAATGGAAATCGATGTTCCACTTTTGAGACATACAGTCAAATCTGTGTTAGCCGATACCTCGATGGAATGGACACCTGTCTATTAAAGGCACTTTCAGGGGTTCCTTGAGTGGTGCTTATGTACAAACTTGACTGTATTTAAAAATGCTTTCCTCTAGGAAATGGGTCTGCCTGGTTACACATAGCAAATTTATTTTTAAACTTTACTATTTTAATAAAATAAATGCTTGAATACTGTTGTATTCAAAGCCATTATGGCAATGCACGATGTACGTTGGTTGAAAACATTTTTCTGCAGAGATACTACAGTATCGTTAGTGTGTGCGAAGTTGTAGTTAGTATACGTTCTATATCATCATCATCATCATCTTCGTTTATAGTCCATATTTTCCCGTGCCTGGGGTTGGACTTGCGATGATCCTCCTCCACCGTTCTCTGTCCTGCGTTGATCCTTCATCTATATTCAAGTTCTTCCGATCTTTCTGCACTGTCCCTATATCCATGTTCTCTTTGGTCTTCCAACCGGTCTTTTTCCAGGGATCTCTAATTCTTCCACAAACCTCAGTACTCCTCCTTCCGTCTCCCTTCTAACATGCCCAAACCATTGTAGTCTTCTCTGTCTTTCTCTTTCTAGTATACGTTCTATATAGCGATGTAAATAGCATAGAATGAGCAACATAAATTATGTATAATAAACTAGACAGTGAGGGTTGAATGTTTCAGGGCGAGATGCCGGATGTTTCCATCGCTCGTAAACTGCTGCACGATCGATTGGTTCACAGAGTGGCCACGAGAGGCTCTGCTCTCCGTGTCGGAGTCCTTGTTCGAGAATGTAGACTTGGGCGAAGACTCGATGAAGGTCAGTCTTACACCTGTCCTTTCTCTCTCTCTCTCTCTCTCTCTATCTCTCTCTCTCTCTATATATACATATATATGTACGTATATACATGTATATCAAGAGCATATAAAGAAGGAGAGCGTACAACGGTAAAATGCTGAAACCATGTTGCAGTATTAGTCGAATTAATAAACTTTCCCCGTGTTATTTTGACGTAGCGTAGTGTGCGTATGTGCATCGTAGGGACATGCGGTTTGTTTTATATGAACAAGGTAGGACGGGGGGTGGCATCAATTAATACTGCAAAGAAATCGGTCAAATAAGCACTGGGCAAAGTATTTTAATTCGGACTAATACTGGCAACATGGTTTCAGGGCATTTGACCGGTTGTACGACCTCTCCTTTCTTTATATTGCTGCTTTGATTAGTATATATATATATATTGAGTATATATATAGCATGTATATCACGTATATATAGTAGGTGATATATATATAGTATATATATATACACCATGTATAAATATAACGATACATAGTATATATATATATATATATATAGTATATATATTATATTATATTATAATAATATATTAGGTATATATAAGTATATATATATAGCTTATGTTGATAACTGTTAGTTCACACAATGTTGGTAACTGTGGCAGATTGCTGGTATATGCTGCCACGATGAAAATATATCTTTCCGAGCTCGTCCGGTAAATCTCGGACAGAATGTGTTGTGAGATCCATCTGTCGGCTGATGGCAGAGATGTCGGAGGTGTTCTAGCCGAGAACTACGCCGGCGTTACTACACGACGCGCCACCAGCCTACCTGGGAGCCTGGCCTCGAACAACGTCTACCTGCCATGCTCAACGACAAAGAAGACAAGTACGCGTCTCCACAAATTATTCATGCAATCAGTTTAGTTGTAATTAAACTAAAACCAATTATTAAAATTATTTTGATTAAATTTGAATAATTTATAACATTCAAGTAAATAATTAAAATGAAATAAAATAAAATAAATTAAAGTAACGAAGCTCATCATGCAATAGTTTACATTAATTACTAATTTAATTAACTAAAATGGCCAACTCATCCTAGGAGTGTCTGTAGCTTTCGTAAACGTCGAGCTCTTTCAACTGCAATGCTATCTTTACGACTCGTCCCCGCTACACATTAATCATAAGTAACGCTTAGGACATCCTTATCTGTCGCGATTCGTGTTGCTCTGCGAGTGACTGCACCCCTCTCCACCCTCTCTCTGCAGGCAGCTGTGTGCTGGCGAGGGCAGAGTTAAAGAAACGGCCTAGAGAAGCAATGACTGGAGCACGAACGAGCTGTTCGGCTACATGCAGGTTGCAGCTTACGGCCCTACGAGCCCGTACTAAAGAACGAGGCGTAGGACGTCGCCAAGCTGATTGACGAAAACTCGCTGTCGTTCATGGTACCGAAGGCGAGAGCCGATCAGTGTCTGTGTGTCGGCATGTAGACTAATAGACCCTCGACACTATTTTACTAGCTAAGAGTGTGTGGCGTGCTGTGCGTGCGTGGCGTGCTGTGGCGTGCCGTGCGTGGGTATGTGTGGCATCGTGTGTGGCGTGGGTGATGTGTGCGTGCGTGCGGTGCGTGCGTGCGTGCGTGCGCGTGCGTGCGTGCGTGCGTAAGGTTGCGTGCTGCGTGCGTTGTCGTGGCGTGCGTGCGTGCGTGCGTGGGTGTGTGTGTGTATGTGCGTAGACGAATGAACTGTGCGGCTAGAACTAGTTTCATGATTGAATGTGTATTCTAGGCTTTCTAGTCTCCTTTCATGTGTTCGGCGTATTATAGGATATAGGCTATAATGTATATGTCTCTAATTCTGTGCCTGAAATAGTGCAGATTGTATTAAGAAGAATTTCGGGGCTTTATTCATCTGTCTAATCTGCGAGTTGTGTAAACCAAGTCAACTAAGCTATGAGTTGAATAATATTTCAGCTAATCTCACTTGAAGTGCTTTTCCAAGAAAGCATTTGATATGTGTGTGTGTGCTCGTGGTGTGTGTGCGTGCGTGCGTGCGTGCGTGCGTGCGTGCGTGCATATGTTGTTTGAATAAAATCGCGTGGGTAGCTTAAAATACCTAAGTAAATCACGAAGCATTTTAAATTCTTCGAAATGTAGAAAATGCTTTGCTACGCACATATAGTGTATATGTATCTATCGCGTGTTAGCACCTCATCGTGCGATGTGTAGCTGACCTCTCCGTAAATGCAGGTAAGGAGTGTCGTGATGGAAGATGAAGCCATGGCCAAGGTCAAAGCCGAGGAGACTTCAGCCATCGCTGCAGATGGCGCAAAGAGACCTGGACGAGCATTACAGCACTCCAACGCCTTGCTGTAAGGTAAAACTATATACTTTCTAAGAAATCATGTCACATGGGGACTTGTAGCCTGCAATGTCACTGGGCTTATGATATCGATTCACCTTAAACATTAAACACATGAAATCATGCTAATGTAGCTGGCTGTTATTGTTAGTATAAAATGAGCAATTGCGTGAAAAGAAATGTCACATCGACACCGAATCAAATATAGCTAATTGTATCCCCGCGACGCAAGTCGGCGGGGATACTATGGTTTCATGTCTGTCCAGCCGCCGCTCGGCGGCCACCGCCAGTCACTTTCCCTTCCGCTCTATAACTCGACCCCTTAATTGACCCTAGCGTGACAAACATAGTCTACTTACACATTTTGGGGAGAGGTGCGCAGCGTACCAAAACCAGGCTCACTACGACCTTTATTTGACCTTTACCTTGACCTTGATCATTTTCCTTCCACTCTATAACTCGGCCCCTTAATTGACCTAGCGCTACCAAACTTTGGTATACTTACACATCTGTGGGGAGAAGGTGTGTTGGCATGACCAAACCAGGTCACTGCAACCTTTATTTGACCTTGACCCTTGACCTTGATCATATTTTCCTTCCGCTCTATAACTCGGCCCCTAATTGACCTAGCGCGACCAACTTGGTATACTTACACATTCTTGGGGGAGAATGTGTGTCGCGTACCAAAACCACGCCCTGCGGCTACGCGCTCTTATTTGACATTGACCTTGACCTTGACCTTCATCATATTTCTCTTCCGCTCTATAACTCGGCCCCTAATTGACCTAGTGCGAGCAAACTTCGTATACTTACACATCTTGGGGAGAAGGTGTGTCGCGTACCAAAACCCCTAAGGCAACTTATTTTAACATACTTGCACATCTCAGGCAGGTGAGTTGTGTAACAAACCTTTGTCTTTGTGACTTATTTAACTTTACCTACCCTCTACGTCCAATTACAGAGATATTTCATTCATACTAGATCACGGGGGATACATGTAGTTGGCGACAACTGCTCTTTCTAATTATAATTAGATTATAGTAACTGGCTACTGTAATGTCAAATTTCGGTTAGGTTTAGGGTTAGGGTAAGGGTTAGGGTTAGGGTAAGGGTAGGTAATTCATTGGTAGGGTAAAAGATGCACCTTCTAATAGGCAGATGTTTTGTGATTCAGGCTCTTGATGCACTAGACAAGAATGATATCTCTGAGATCAAGGTGTTTAGCAAGCCTCCAGAGATGGTGCTCACCGTGATGGAAGCTGTCTGCATTCTGCTGGGTTCAAAGTTAGTCTACCATCAGCCATCTGCAGTTTAAACCAGGAATTTCACAACTAGGGAATGAGAGAGATCTAGAGATTTCACACACTAGACCACGAACAATCCGAGTCTTGTGAATCCGTGTGATTATATAATTAAATGATCAGTCGTTACCGTCATCATGCTGCACATAGCAGTAAAGCTGGGTTTACGTACACTATCAATATTTAGTTGAAAAGTTGATGAGTTGACATCAACCAGTTGAGCGCTCAACTTTTACGTTTACACTGCCGACTTTCGGTCGAATAGTTGCAAAGTTGATCAACTCGCCAACCTTTCAACTATTTAATGTTGGTAGTATAAACCTAGCTTAAGCCAGTAGCAGCAGCAGTGTCAGGTTAACATAACAGACATAACTATAGAGATTATGGACCATGAGCGATTCGAGTCGCGTGAATCCGTTGCGATTATAAAATTAAACGATTAGTCGTTTCATCCTCATGCAGTACGTCGCAGTATGTCTGCAGCGCTGCGTCGTGTTATTAAACATTACTGACTTTTTTTGCGTGAAGGCCGGACTGGGACACGTCAAAGAAGCTGTTGGGAGACGCAGCCTTTCTCAGGCGACTCTCCGAATATGACAAGGACAGCATCGCCGATTCCACTCTCAAGAAGCTGAAGAAATACGTCGAGAATCCAAAGTTTTGGCCGGAAATTGTAGAGAAAACATCAAAGGTTATTGTTTTTTTTTCTACAATTTAGTTATTGGTTTGGTCAATCAATTAATAGTTATTCATACATTTTTTTACCCAGTACAGATTTTGTTCAAATTTTGCTCACTGTTAATGAAAATTCTTACTGTTTATGCTTGCAGGCATGCAAATCTTTGTGCATGTGGGTAAGAGCCATGGACCTCTATGCTAAGGTAGCAAAGACTGTTGGACCAAAGCGACAAAAGTAAGATCATAATGAATGTCTTGTGTGATGGGGTAGAAGTCACCTCTGTCAAATTGGTAGTTATATAAATGTTTTCAGGACGTGCAGTGGTTAACAGGTTGTTACCTATGTGTGATGACCAACACTCTCTGTCACCCATGTGTATAGTGACTGACATGCTGTCACCCGTGTCTCACACATAGTGACTGACACGCTGTCACCTGTGTGTCATACACGTAATGACAGACACTGTCACCCATGTGTATAGTGACTGACACACAATGTCATCTGCATGTACTAACTGACCAGCGGTCAATCATCGTCACTGTCACTCTTGTGTACTCATCGACACTGTCACCTGTGTGTATACTGTCACCTGTGTGTATACTGTCACCTGTGTGTATACTGTCACCTGTGTGTATACTGTCACCTGTGTGTATACTGTCACCTGTGTG